TACCAGTAGATGACTCACTACCAACCGTCTGTGTGAATCATTGACTGTATTCATATTGCTGCTGACCATAGCAGGATTTCAAACACCCTCACCCGTAGGCACTATGGGTCAGTCGTAGTAGGCAGCAGAGAGAGACAGGTTGGCTGTTGGCGCTTCCCATACTTCCCGATATATATTATATGTACTACCAGCCTACGTGCGTATTCTTACCCCATCCACGTATCGAAAACCCACATGACATATATATATATAATATATATATATATATATATATATATATATATATATATTTTATGTGTGTGTGTGTGTGTGTGTGTGTGTGTGTGTGTGTGTGTGTGTGTGTGTGTGTGTGTGAAAATTTGTGTGGACTGCCTCCAAGTGAGTCGCCTACCCTGGCAAACTCTGTTGACACCGAGCTCTGAGACCTCAGCCTCACAAGTGGCTTATAGGACAGATTTTCACAAATGATTGATGTTGCAAGAAACTCACCTGCATGTACGTATAAAGGACTAACTTACTTGGTGTTGCAGCATATATCCTGATCTTCAACTTCCCTAAGCTTAGCCTTAGCCCCTTTGGACTTCCCCTCAGAAACCACGTGCAACCGGGAGCCTTAATTCCTGCAATATTCAATCGTTATTAGTGACCTGCCTGCACCTCAGAAATTCCTATATCCAAGAGGGTGTGTATCCCCTAGTACAACTATGCAGACACGGACACTAGCTTCTACATAGACAAGAGACACTGGTACTTACTGGGCATGCACTCTCAGCTGCAACACAGACCCACAGATCAACTCACTCACAAACTCCCCAGACACTGGCCAGAAATCTACGAGATAAAGTGAAGGTTTTGTCTTACTGTATGGGCCTGACGGAGGAGGTCATCTACGGTACATCGAGGTGCCTCTACCAGATTTCCCTAGGTCTCAAATGTAAAGACACGTGGGGGCGCCGTCTGCTGATCACGGCATGTCTTGTCCAGTTGGCGTCTGTCTTAAGAAGAACGAGCTGGTCTCTCTTCCAGACCCTCGTCTCTTCGTTCAAACTAGGGCTGCCAGTTCTCCCTAGCTAACTTAACCTAGTGTTTGCCTACATTATCGGCCTATTACTACCTATGATAAGGTCTTAGGTCTACATTATTATTATCTACAGTTGCCTCAATGATCCTAATATTAGTGTACTACCAGTAAAACTACCTACTCCTTTCCTGAAGGGTAAATCTATAAATAAATAAGTGCCTACTATCCATGCCCCCCCCCGGGGAGAGAAATGTGTTTATGTTTGGGGAGAACACTTTTTGTTTGGGTGAGTTTAAGGGCCACCCAGCTCAGCCGTTCCATTACGGCCATGCCGGATCTGTCCTGTGGAACTTTTGGGACCAAATAAATTTCCACAATATAATAATAAAATATAAATATATATATATATTATATATTATATATATATTATATATATTATATATATTATTATATATATTTAATATATATATATAATATATTATATATAATATATATATATATATATATATATATATATATATATATATATATATATATATATATATATATATATATATATATATATATATATATATATATATATATATATATATATATATATATATATATATATAATATATATATATATATTATATATAATTATATATATATATATATATATATATATATATATATATATATATATATATATATATATATAATATATATATAATATATATATATATATATAAAATATATATATATATATATATATATATATATATATATATATATATATATATATATATAATATATATATATATATAAATTAATATATATATATATATATAATATATATATTTAATATATATAATACAATCATTGATTTACGATTGTTTTTAGTAAAGTATTTCATTTAAATTAATAATAAAGGCTAGTCTTGAAATAAATCAATAACTTCCGAGATAATCGCCTGGAACACCGGCCGGCCTCCCGACTCGGGAAAAATAAAATTTTTTCGAGAAAATTGCTCTTGTTTCAAGGTTTACTGGTGATCTAGTATGGTATGGTTTGATCTAATGTAGTTATCTTCTCTAAAATACAGTTTTCTCTTACTCAAAGGCCAAAGAAGACGATATAGGAAGGAGGGGAAATTCTTTTATTCCTAATATCACTGATAGACACTCGCCATATTATGGCCTATTTTATTAATTCTAGTGTATATATCATGTTTATATGTCATTTATAGGGTTTATTATGTCATATTAGATCAGTTCTAATAGATAAATAAACGTAGAGTTGATATTAGCGCAATAATGATGAATTTTCTCCAGACATGTCAAAGCCAGTCATAGCATGAACCAGTTCAAGAAGAGAGCCAAAAGGTGTCTGATGAATGTAGCTACAGAAAAGGAGGGGAATGATTTTTTATTTTTTAGCTAACACACGTGTAATTTTACCTTATTCCTAATAATGACCCTCGTATTGTAGATAGTCTTAATGGCCCTCGCATAGTAGTGTTTTTAGTATGATAATAAGATGTTATCTTCATTATAGAATAATAATATATAACCTTTATATTATAATAATAAGGTAAAAGGACCCCAATGGAAATCAGCCACTCTGACTTTTTTTGGGTTATCCTAGGTTCTCTACACATATGCTGCTATGTATGATAATGTATGTACTGTATTTGTGTATACCTGAATAAACTTACTGACTCCTCATGCCTCCCGAGTGCCGGGATGTTGCAAGCTGGTTCATGATTGGTTGGCACTCGTCGTATAAACCCCGCCCACTCTTATATGATGCCAAATAATCAAAATAATAAGTAAGTTTATTCAGGTATACACAAATACAGTTACATAGATTATCATACATAGCAGCATATGTGTAGAGAACCTAGGATAACCCAAAAAAGTCAGACAGAGTGACTTATTTCCATTGGGATCCTTTTACCACGTTGAACACACCGCTTCTCGTCCGATCAGCGAAGTTAAGCAACGTTGGGTTTGGTTAGTACTTGGATGGGTGACCGCCTGGGAACACCAAATGCTGTTGGCATTAAACCTTTAGGTGGCCCGGTGGTCTGGTGGCTAAAGCTCTCGCTTCACACACGGAGGGCCCGGGTTCGATTCCCGGCGGGTGGAAACATTCGACACATTTCCTTACACCTGTTGTCCTGTTCACCTAGCAGCAAATAGGTACCTGGGTGTTAGTCGACTGGTGTGGGTCGCATCCTGGGGGACAAGATTAAGGACCCCAATGGAAATAAGTTAGACAGTCCTCGATGACGCACTGACTTTCTTGGGTTATCCTGGGTGGCTAACCCTCCGGGGTTAAAAATCCGAACGAAATCTTATCTTATCTTATCTTACCTTATTATTATAATATAAAGGTTATAATATTTTCTTATTATTCTATAATGAAGATAACATCTTATTATCATACTAAAACCACTACTACGCGAGGGCCATTAAGACTATCTACAATACGAGGTTCATTACTAGGAATAAGGTAAAATTACTTGTGTGCTAGCTAAAAAATAAAAAAATCATTCCCCTCCTTTTCCGTCGTTACATTCATTAGGTACCTTCTGGCTGTCTTCTTGAACTGGTTCATGCTATGACTGGCTTTGACATGTGCGGGCAGTCTGTTCCATTCCTTTATTGCTGTACAATAAAAGGTGTTTGAAGCCTGGCCACTGACTGTGGACAAAAAAAAAAATCCAAAAAAATTTACGGAACCTGTATTCCCTGGAACGCAGGCGGGAGAGATACATGATTATATACACCTGGAAAATCCTAGAGGGACTAGTACCGAACTTGCACACGAAAATCACTCACTACGAAAGCAAAAGGCTCAGCAGACGATGCAGCATCCCCCCAATGGAAAGCAGGGGTGTCACTAGTACGTTAAGAGACAATACAATAAGTGTCAGGGACCCGAGACTGTTCAACTGCCTCCCAGCATACATAAGGGGGATTACCAACAGACCCCTGGCAGTCTTCAAGCTGGCACTGGACAAGCACCTAAAGTCGGTACCTGACCAGCCGGGCTGTGGCTCGTACGTTGGTTTGCGTGCAGCCAGCAGTAACAGCCTGGTTGATCAGGCTCTGATCCACCAGGAGGCTTGATCACAGACCGGGCCGCGGGGGCGTTGACCCCCGGAACTCTCTCCAGGTAGACTCCAGTCATGACGGCCAGCGCCGATGTCACCATACATGATATAAATGACTGTAATTCCTTGTAGAAACGTTGTAGGACATTGATTCTTGCACCATTGTGTAGCCAGGGAGTTAAGCTATTTTTTCTATACCAATAACTCAATTTCCATAATTTTTCGATTTTTTTTTTCGCTGGCGCGCAGCGTCTTGTGGCCGCATCAGCATCCACGCCGCCTACACCACTCACAATTAATAAAAAAAAAATATTTTAAGCCAATATCTGACACTAGGCTACAGAGTCTGGCATGTAAAATGACAATTAAGTTAGTTTGAAAATGTTCTTCATATAATGGTTTTGTTCAACGTTTACAGAAATATAACAAAATATCAGTGACTAAAAGGCATCAAGGTACCAAACCTTTAGTATTTATATAATTATAAAAAAAACGATTTTAGGGATATTTTAATACAATTATTTTAAATATAAGTCTTAATTAGTTTTATATACATTGATTTAATTCCGGTAAACTCTGTGTGTTGTCAAAGCTTCGGTTTATCCAAGTCAATATAGATGCTTCATCTGTATAACCCTTGTGGTTTAGCGCTTCTTTTTGATTATAATAATAATAGATGCTTCAGAAACCTCCTGTAATGCCCTTTATAAGATCCACCTATATCTAGGTGACGTGTATTTGTAGGTCTCCTGTTATTTATGTCAAAAATAATGTTGAATTGTTTATTACGAACAGAAAATAATTTCCATATTTAATTGAAACGACATAACTCGTCAAGTAATATTAATACAAGTAACTATGCACTGTATGATCCTTGTGGGTTTAACGCTTAGTTTTCACTATAAAATAATACAAATAACTACAGTGAGAAAAGTGCCACATTTAGAGAAGCTAAGACAGATGTTCTTTTATATATATGTACTATAAGTGGATAAATAAGCAAAGACAGATACTCCCAAAAATATGCATTTGAGTAACTTAATCAAATCTCAGTGTTGGGATATGCTACACTTATGTAGCTTTAAAGCTTACTAAGCAGTTTGGAAAACTTTCCAGTGCCCCAATTACTGTGATTACGGTTAGTTTATAACATTACTGGTAATTAATACAGTACAAGTGCGGCCATAGATGTGGCATGAATATTCCTCCATGTCCTGGGTACAGTACCATAAGTTACACAATTCAGTAACGCTTGTTAACATTAAAAAGAGGAAAAGATGGGAAGATTTTATTTGAGAATATAATAACTCGTTTTATGTAAGTAGCTTTAATTTGAGAGATGGCCAAATATCTTAAAAGGACTTGCTGAAGACAAGACCCCAGTAGATGATATTGAAGAGAAAGATAATACCAGGGACCACCACATATCTGGACCACCAGAGTAATTTCTCAGCCTCAGGTGATGTGGGTCTAAAACTTTTCTCCACGGTTCTCCTAGGGTCGAAGGGCAGCACCTGAGTGAGCATTTTGTTTTCTGACATGTTGACCTGGTGTTCCACCACCGTGTGTAACACGATGACGAAGAAGAGAAGAAAGATACAGAAGAAGAACCACACGTCGATGAGCTTAACGTAGGCGGTGGTAGGGAGAGCATCAGAAGTGTTGCTGAACAGTGTGTATAGTACCAGCAACGTTGTCAAACTTACAGCCATCCGCACCTACAAGATGAAATCATCCCTAGAGTTAATTATTATTATTATTATTATCTAGAGGGAAGCGCTAAACCCGTAGGATTATACAGCGCCAGGGGGGGATGTGGAAGGCATTCAGGCTTAATTCGGGGAACTGGAGCAGAGGTCCAATTCCCTAAATCAAGAGCCCCTCACCAACATCAAGGAACCTTCCGTGAGGGGTCCTTAGGGCTAACCCCTTTGGAATATTAACCTAAGATAAAGCAACTAAGTAGTGTGTAGTGTGGTTTAGAAAGACACGTAAGCAAACACTATAACATATTTATTAGAAAACGTTTCGGTCCTGGGACCTTGATCACTTCAGAAGTGATCAAGGTCCCAGGACCGAAACGTTTTCTAATAAATATGTTATAGTGTTTGCTTACGTGTCTTTCTAAACCAACTTGTCGGTATTTATTACCAAGGTTTATACCAGTGTGTAGTGTAGCTTATTTCATTAGGTTGGTTCTCTTCCACTGTCTCTAGGTTGAGACCCACAACAGTCCACTAATACCTGTTTGCTGCTAAATGAACAAATGAGTCGAAATCAGACACTTTCACTTGAATCAAAAGCTCTACACTGAACAATGAAACATACAACATGCAAAGACTTAAATAATATATTAAATTCCTACCAGAACTCACGTTGATAAACCTCTTCAAGGGGGGCTCCTTGGCGTGGTGAAGAGGCTCTTGGTCTGAGGAATTAGACCTGTCGGTCTTCTTCCTCAGACCGAACCTAATTACCCCCCATTCTCCCCTCCCCTATCCCATCCTCCCCTTTTTCCATTCCTCCTCCTCCTCCCCACCCCTCCCTTTTGCCCTTCCTCTTTTTGGTCTTTGGGATTTCTCCCACATGCGCGCTAGTTCCTAGGTAGGGGAAAGGACACCGGGGTTCATCCCATTCCGTTGAGGTTCTTGGCAGTGGCATAGTTTGCCGTGGAATCTGGATCGCCTGGGGATGTTCCGATCCCTCTCCGGTATCCCGGAGTAGCTTTGGGTGTCTTTTGGGCGACAGGTGTATCTCTGGAAGCCACCTTTCGGATTCCGGGGGTGGTGGCCGAAGGAGGTATGCTTTGTGGCGGATATCCGGCTGCCCTCTCTTTTGTCCACTGAGGTAGCTCGGCAGATGTGAGGTTGCTATCCCGGATTGCTGGTTTACTGGCATGAAGGGTAGGGTATGGCACGGGTTCCATGCTGCATCTGCGCTAGGAGGCCTGGTCACAGACCGGGCCGCGGGGGCATTGACCCCCGGAACTCTCTCCAGGTAAACTCCAGGTAAACTCCAGGTGCTGAGGTCCTCTTGGGCGCGGAGGGAGATTTCCGGCCCTTTCATTCCTCCTGGGAACTATTCCTCCCCGCTCCCCCCTTTTTTTATTCTTTTTTTATTTTTATTTTCTTTTCTTCTTTCTTTTTTTTTCTTAAAAACAAAAAGCAAAGGAGTAACCTAACCATGGAGAACCCAATCTATGAACCCACTAACCCCGGGCCCCTTCTTGATACCGCACCCCATTCTGACCCTGCCTTGTGTTTAGACCACTCTTCGGACACTCCTGATCCCCCTGTACCTCTTGCTGGTGCTGTTTCCTCACCCGCTTCAGGTACCAGGCTTCGACTAACTCCTTCGTTTTGCCCTGAACTCTGCTCTCCTTTGACTATGCTTCCGGCTTCTCCCTCTTACAGTACGGCAATTTTCGAATCGCCCGCCATTTCACCCCGGGAAACCAACTCCGGTCCTACTCCTAAACCCCAACGTCAATCTCCTGATGATGCTCCTTCGTTACCTTCCCATTCTACTCTGGAAAAGACCGACACATCAAGCACTCCCTCTCCACCCCATTTTTCGGACCACACAATGGACTAAATTCTTTACTTTAAGACCGACTTCTTCTTCTGCCTACCTTTCTGACCATAGTATTGGCAAAGCGCTCCTGCGTCATGTTGGTAGAGATATTTCATTTCATACTCTCAAGAGCGGTATGCGCATCGTCACTGTCCAGAATGCTACCCAAGCTCATGATCTTTCTCTCCTTTCGAATATCGATACTATTCCTGTCACTATTGAAAAACATCTTTCTCTCAATTCTTGTAGTGGTACTGTCATCTGCCCCATACCAACAGAATTTCCAGTCATGTGGCAATGACATTCTTGAACAGCTGGAACTCCAGGATCTCCCAATCCTTAAAGTAGACACTTATGTCCTTCCTGCCCGGGGGCGGAGACTTTATCCTTGCAAATGTGGCTCGTTTAACTTTTGACAGCCGAGAACTCTCGTCCTCTGTATATGTCGCGGGACATCGGTTACAAGTTCGAAAGGTGATACCTACACCGCAACAATGTAGAAATTGCTGGCGTTTTGGTCACCCAGCGAAATATTGCAGATCTATGGCCGAATGCCCAGTCTGTGGTGCCGACGACCATTCTAATACATCTTGCAGTCAACCTCCATCTTGCCTTAATTGTAATGAAGCTCACCCTTCGTACTCCCGCCATTGCCAGGTCTACTTAAATGAACGTGAAATCCGTTGCCTCAAAGAGGCAGAAGGTCTCCCTCATGCTATGGCAGTTACTCATCTCTGCCTCCAAGGGAGACTACCCGTGTTTCTTTTTCCCGTGTTTCAAACATCCCCCCATTTTTGGGGCCCCATCTTCTGCAGCCTCCTCTGTTGTTACCCCTCCCATAGCCACTCTGGCATCTAATCCTTTTGCTGTCCTTTGGCTCTGACGTCCCCGACTACAACTCAGTCTGTTCTCACATCTTCGCGTCCTTCCTCACAAGCCCCAGTATCGACAAGACCTCGTACGACACCTAATACCAATCGCCCCTCTACTTCTCAGAAGTCCAACAAATCCACATTGCTCAAATCTTCTTTGCCCCTTCCTTCCCTTCTTCCACCTCCACACTTTACCTTTCCAGTCTCTGTACCTAGTTCTTCCCCTCTCTCTGGCTCTATTACAAGTGTGGAGATTCACCCTCCTCCTCGTACTATGCCTTCATAAGAACATAAGAAAGGAGGAACACTGCAGCAGGCCTGTTGGCCCATACTAGGCAGGTCCTTTACAATTCATCCCACTAACAACATTTGACTAACCCAATTTTCAATGCCACCCAAGAAACAAGCTTCGATGTGCAAGTCCCACTCAAATCCAACCCCTCCCACTCATGTACTTATCCAACCTAAATTTGAAACTACCCAAAGTCCTAGCCTCAATAACCCAACTAGGTAGACTGTTCCACTCATCAACTACCCTATTTCCAAACCAATACTTTCCTATGTCCTTTCTAAATCTAAACTTATCTAATTTAAATCCATTACTGCGGTTCTCTCTTGGAGAGATATCCTCAAGACCTTGTTAATATCCCCTTTATTAATACATATCTTCCACTTATACACTTCGATCAGGTCTCCCCCATTCTTCGTCTAACAAGTGAATGTAACTTAAGAGTCTTCAATCTTTCTTCATAAGGAAGATTTCTAATGCTATGTATTAATTTAGTCATCCACCCCCGTCCCCTCCCAAGTTTCTCCCTCTTCTGCCACCTCCCAGGTTTCTGCCTCTTCTGTCCCCCCCCACACTTCATCTCCAGTCCCTTACACTCTTCCCCCCTCTACTTTGGTACAGTCCATTACTGTCCCATCTTTACTCACCCTCATCCTTTTTATCTCCAATATGGTCTCCCATACATCTTTGAATTCAGAAACACTTGAAGCCATTTCAGAATATACTGCAGAGACTAAACCTTCAATGGACACTGATTCACTTCCTGTTCCTTCTCTTCCCTCTCCTCCATGTTTGCAATCCCATTCTTCGCAACGCTCCGTCCTTCGCTACTTGAACTCTTCCAATGCCACCACACGTTGACTTTTCTAACCCCTCTAGTCCGTGGGTGCCTTTACCTACAGATTCCTGGTTTTTTCTTCATCGCCAATCAGGGCCTATTTACAGTGGAATTCCGGGGCCTCAGGGTAATCAGGTGAGCTTCAGATGTTGCTTTCCCAGGTTTTCCCCTGTTGGTGCTTGCTTACAAGAACCAAAATTACACTCGGCTGTTTTCCAACCTATCTCAGGCTATAATTTATTGATTTTTTCGGATCCTTTCTCGATGGAACCTTAATGAAAGTGCCCTTCTTCTACACAATGAATTCCGTACTGTCAACTTTCGTCCATACCTCGCTGCATTAAAACTGCAGCCTGTATCCACTTGAATAAGTGGTTTACAATATGTTCTTTATATCTCTCTCCTTCTCGAGCATTTTCAAATCCCAGACTTTGCCTTTCTTGTTTCATCCTTACCACCACCACTTCTTTTTACTTGGTGATTTTAATGCCCACCATTTCCTCTGGGGGGGTCTCAATGTAACTCACGTGGCATCCAGTTGGAGGCTTTTCTCGCTTCTCACTCCCTCCATGTTTTAAATACGGGTACTCCAACCCATTTTGATCCTCGACTCATACTCCCCTCTTGCATCGATCTATTAGTCCGCTCTTCCTCCACTGCACTAGACTTCACCTGGTCTTTTTCCTACCGGACTTACATGAAAAGCGATCATTTTCCAATCATTTTTACTTCTCCTTCCTATTCACCACCTTTCCGTACCCTCGCTGGCAATTTGATCGGGCAAATTGGGATCTTTACTCACACCTCACTGCTTTTAGTGAGGTTCCTTCTTCATCCTCCATTGATGAGCTCCTACACATCTTCTCGACGTCAGTTTATACTGCAGCTTCTCATTCTATACCCCAAACCTCAGGCAGACATTCTCAGAAGTGCGTGCCTTGGTGGTCTGCTGCTTGTGCTCTTGCAGTACGTTTGAAACGCGCTGCAGGGGGCAGGTACTGGTACAAAGAACCGCTGAGAGACTTCTTGATTAAGCAGAAGCGGCGATCACTCGCCGTGTCTCTGTGAAGCTAAATGCACTTTTTTGGCGAGACTATGTTTCCACCATCACCTCTGCTTCTTCTATGAGTGCAGTCTGGAAAAAAGTGAGGAAATTGAGTGGTTTAAATACCTTGACCCGGCTCCTGTTCTATGGGTCGCTGGTGTTGATGTAAGCAAACCCTCTCGACGTTGCCATTGAACTTGGCACCATTGTTCCGTATTTCCCCAGGGCTCCATCTATGCCCCTCGTTTTTTTCCTCAAAGTCTGCCAGAGAGTTGTACCCTTGGACTTTTCTTCTCTCAGAGAAGAACAGTATAATGTGCCTTTTACACTTCAAGAACTAGAGGCAATGCTCTCAGCTTGCCGATCATCGGCAGCTGGGCCTGACGACATTGTATTCTAAAGTTGCAATATTTACATCGGTCAGCCCTTGTAGTCCTCTTACACCTCTTCAATCTTATTTGGGCACAAGGAGTTCTACCCCCCTGTGGAAATCTGCCATTGTTCTCCCTTTCCGCAAAAACCGGGTACTACAGGGCATGATGCCTCCCAAATATCGTCCCATCGCTCTTACTAGTGCAGTTTGCAAAGTGATGGGAAAGTCTGTAAATCGCTGTTTAATGTGGTATTTAGAGACACACAACAGTCTTTCCGCTAGTCAATATGGCTTTCGTAAGGGTCGTTCTACCATAGACCCCTTACTACGCTTGGATACGTATGTTCGTAATGCCTTTGCAAATAATCACTCAGTATTGCCATATTTTTTGACCTTGAGAAGGCATATGACACAACTTGGAGGTATAATATTTGGCCCAGGCCCATTCCGTAGGCCTCCGAGGCAATCTACCCTCCCTTTCCCTTTAAAAACTTTTAACTGACAGACATTTTCCGTGTTCGAGTCAATAATGTTCTTTCCCCAGACTTCGTCCAAGCTGAAGGTGTCCCTCAGGGATGGTTTCTTAGCACAACACTTTTCTCCTTGCTATAAATGATTTGGCCTCTGTTCTTCCACCCAATATTTGGTCATCACTTTATGTTGATGACTTCGCTATTGCTTGTGCAGGCGCTGACTGTCATCTTATTGCAGTTTCTCTCCAGCATGCAGTCGACCGTGTTTCCACTTGGGCCACCACGCATGGGTTTAAATTTTCAAGTACCAAAACTCAACCAAATTATTTCACTAGACGCTCTGTTATCTCCATCATCCTTTGTATCTCTATGGCTCCCGTATTCCCCGAACGTGATACAGTCAGGTTTCTAGGCCTTCTCTTTGACCGGGAGGTTATCCTGAAAACCTCACATTACCTCTCTGAAGGCAACTTTCACAGCCGGCTAAACCTTCTTAAAACCCTTGCTCATCTTTCCTGGGGAGCTGATCGTCGAACTCTGCTTCGCCTTTCATTCAGCCCTCGTTTTTATCAAAACTCGATTATGGTGACGAAATTTATTCCCGGCCTTTTCCTGCTACTCCCTCTAGCCTTAACTCTATCCATCCCCCAAGGATTACGTTTTTTGCCTTGATGCTTTCGCTCTTCCCCTGTTGAGAGCCTCTATGCAGAAGCGAATGTTCCATCCTTGTCTGATCGCCGTGATGCCATTGCCTTCTCTACTATGTACGCTCTCACGATCTACACAATCCTTCCATTTATAGAATGGTCACCATATTAGTAGACATTCTTTATTCGTTCGCCGCCCCTGTTTGCTCCCGTCCCTTTTCTCTTCGCCTACATTCACTCTTGTCTTCCCTTCAGTTACCACCTTTATATGTTTATGTAGCATCTCACTTTTCCCTACCCCCCTGGGAAGTTCCAGCTGTTCGGGTCTGTTCTTTCTCACTCCCTTGCTCGAAAGCTCAACTGCCTACGGTAGCTTCCCGCTCTCTTTTTCTTGATCACTTCCACTCCCTTCTCATGCCACCACTGTGTACACAGATGGCTCTAAGTCTTCAGACGGCGTCGGATTCGCAGCAGTGTTTCCGGACAGCGTCGTGAGGGGGCATTTACTATCTTCGGCTAGCATTTTTACTGCTGAACTGTATGCCATTCTTGCAGCACTTATTCGTATCGCATCTATGCCTGTGTCATCATTTTTTGGTAGTCTCAGACTCCCTTAGTGCTCTACAGGCTATACGAAAATTTGATACATCTCACCCCCTAGTTTTTCCGTAATCCAACTTTGGCTACGCCGTATCTTTACAAGCATAAAGATATTATTTTTTGTTGGGTCCCTGGTCATGTTGACGTACAGGGCAATGAACAGGCAGACACTGCTGCACGGGCAGCAGTACATGACCTACCAATTCCTATAGAGGTTTTCCATTTCTGGACTATTTTGCTACAAAACTGCCCACCTTCACGCTCGTTGGCAACAACGTTGGTCAACTCGCTTGGGAACAAACTTCATTCTATTAAACCGAGCATGGTTACTGGCCGTCTTTTTGTCATCAGTGCCGTGGTTGGGAACCACTCTCTCCCGTCTTCGCATTTGGCCACACTCGTCTTACTCACAGGTATCTCATGGAGAGGCACCCTGTCCTCTCTGTGAGCAGTGTCAATTCCAGTATCGATTAGCCACATTCTGTTAGACTGCCCTCTCTATCAACGAGCACGCAGAATTTATCTCCAACGCCGTCTTCGTTCTACTACTCTCTCTTTACCTTCCCTTCTTGCTGATGGACCCTCCTTTAATCCTGACTCTCTCATTGACTTCTTGACAACGACTGATTTACTCCACAAACTCTGATGATGATACCTTACGCACTCCCCTCAGCCCTTTCTAGCTCAGTCTCTTGCTGCCCTTTACCCTTTCACCATCCACTGCCCCGCTGTTATCCGTAACCTATTACTCATCCACCTCCCTTTTGCCACCTGATGCCCTCGCTTCCTTCCTGCCCTGCAGCGCTGTATAGCCCTTGTGGCTTAGCGCTTCTTTTTGATAATAATAATAATAATAATCACGTTGATAAAAGAACTTCACGAACAGAGCTTGTTACCAAGAACCATAATATAATGAGCCAACAGTCAGGTTTTTTAATATGCATGTGATACATATAGCCGGACAAGTTTAAGACAAAGTTCTCTGGTTGTCTTACGTCCATGAGAGCAACATTGACGAAGAGTGTTGTGTAGCCTACCAGCTGCAACATAGCAGTGGGCAGGTACACCGTCAACACTATCATCTTCCATCGCCGTGACAACTCAAACTCCACCTGCAACAAATAAATGTTTGGCTTTAATGTAAAGTGTTTTTTTTCCTTAAGGCTGAATTTACATGCTAAAAGTCGTCTGGTATAGAGTTCTGTAGTCTACAAACATGTAGGCAGCTTGTTTGCTTAGCGGCCGGAGGATCGAGCCTCCACCACACCTGTGAATGACTCCCACGACTTTTGCTTCACTTAAAATTAATACGTAAATAAACTGTCTGGCCTACGATACCTGGTGAATAGTTTTTTATTAAACAACAATTTTGGACATCATCTTTGTGCTACTACCTATTACATATGCCAGTTACACAGTGAGAGCAAAGTTAACCATGTTTCCTTCTCATTCCACCACACAGGATGGGCGCCATGCAAAATATTGAAGTATGTCAGCTTGACCTAGGAAACTTCAGTAGGACAGTGAGGATATCGTCTAATATTCCAGCAAAAGTTCATCAACTCCGGGAGCTTCAAAGGATTTGTTCCAGCATAACTGAAATTACTATCCCTTAGGAGTTATCTCTCAAGATAGCCTATCTCAAATACAGGAGAACTGACATTCCTCGTGCCCGGCTAAATCTATTCAAGAGTTTAAGGTACATAAAAGGGCCCAGAATCTGGAACTCTGCCAGAAATCTTCGGAATTGACTCAGCCAGCATCTTCACAAAAATGTTAATAAGAAGCGCCTTATCTCCCTAACATATCCCAGCATCAACTAAATATGTAAAAATATAAATGAATATTTTCAATGTCATGAACATACGTACAACATTATAAACAATATATACTTACTCTGTAACCCTTCCAAACCTATAATTCTCTCTATTACACTTATTAAAGCCACATAGAATGTACTAATAGGATATTCAGTTATCTTGTATTTATTGTAAACTCCTAAATGTACACCTTATTGATATTGCCCTCTTAATCTTGGAACTTGTATGACCAGAGCTTTGGTTAGATAGGGAAGGAAGAAGGATGGGTAATGGAAATATGGAAAAAAGGGTGAGTTGGAGGAGGTTAAGTGGGATAATAAAGGTAACTGGCCTCATAATCTTAAGTTTACCAGAAATGCTCTGCATATACAGGGACTTACAGCATGTACACCTAATGTCATTCATTCTCTCTTGCACAAATACTGTATCATGCTGAAATAAAATATTATTATTATCTCCATTATTCGAGAGTGTGGGGGCCCCAGTAGACTATAAAACTTAGCTTTGTATCTGATTTAGTAACAAAATTGGTTGTTTTAAGCCAACTTTGATATGCAATCGTAGCGGGAATAAACAGGTAGTAAACAGCAGTGCACTTATTGTGTGGATTAAACGGGTAGAAAGAATAGCAGTATTACTGCGGCGTGTAAATGCACCTGTAGTGTGCTGTAGCGGGTCTCGTTGTTGCCAGCCTCGATGACGGTGATGAAGAACCTGGTGAGGAGGTAGGCTGGGAGTTTGGGATCCTCCAGGTACACCACTCGAGCCATATCTGAGGCGAACTTGACCAACTCCTTCCTGACGGTGAGTTCTAGTTCCAGAGCGCACTCCTGGTTGTCGAACGGGTAGTAGAACACGTCGAAGGAGCAGGCGAACACACCGCTGAGGATTATTAATTTAATTAATATCTCTATTACGTACCCCATACCTATCCCGTAGGCGGCAGTCAGCAGATTACACAAGCACATAATAGGTCCAGGGACTAGGCCTCAAAGTTTTGATAGCTAAGCAAGTTAGTGGTAATGAACTAGGGTCAGATTTACACAAGTTGGTTGTTTGTGTTCTCATCGATGCGAAGTGGATGCCTTGATTTTAAGAGAAGCTAGTCTCCTCTTCCTCGGACTGAACCTGTTAAATCCCCCTCACATCCAGTTCAGCACTTTCTCTTGAATAGTAATAATAATAATTCATGTGCTGAACATGCCAATTTTCTCACTTCTTCAGTTAAGGACCAAGATGATATTCTTGTTTTGCTCCTCTGATGGCCAGATCGAGTGAATTTACATATCTATAGTGACTTATTTTGAGTGAGGAGGGATGAATTCTAGCTCTCGGTTCTACCTTATACATTTCGATCAACTGACTTGAAATAGACTGTCATATCTATTTGTTCTGACCCTATACGGAGTCCACTTAAAGTGCATCATTGTTTTTAAATCATTAATTACTCTGCATCATGATTCACTTGGGATGATTTTTTACGATATCCCAGTGACCATGGCGTAATAGCGCACAAAATGCGTGCTAAAGGAATAACAGGAAAATCGGTCGATGGATCTATAATTTCCTCACTAACAGAACACAGAGAGTAGTAGTCAACAGAGTAAAGTCCGAGGCAGCTACGGTGAAAAGCTCTGTTCCACAAGGCACAGTACTCGCTCCCATTTTGTTCCTCATCCTCGTATCTGACATAGACAAAGATGTCAGCCACAGCACCGTGTCTTCCTTTGCAGATGACACCCGAATCTGCATGACAGTGTCTTCCATTGCAGACACTGCAAGGCTCCAGGCGGACATCAAATCTTTCAGTGGGCTGCAGAAAACAATATGAAGTTCAACGATGAGAAATTGCAATTACTCAGATATAGTAAACACGAGGAAATTAAATCTTCATTAGAGTATAAAAAAAAATTCTGGCCACAAAATAGAGCGAAACACCAACGTCAAAGACCTGGGAGTGGATCATGTCGGAGGATCTCACCTTCCCAAAGGGCCATAACATTGTATCAATCGCATCTGCTTTGAAAAATGACAGAATGGATAATGAGAACCTTCAAAACTAGGGATGCCAAGCCCATGATGACACTCTTCAGATCACTTGTTTTATCTAGGCTGGAATGTTGCTGCACACTAACAGCACCTTTCAAGGCAGGTGAAATTGCTGACCTAGAAAATATACAGAGAACCTTCACGGCACGCATAACCGAGATAAAACACCTAAATTACTGGGAGCGCTTGAGGCTCCTGAACCTGTATTCCCTGGAACGCAGGCGGGAGAGATACATGATTATATACACCTGGAAAATCCTAGAGGGACTAGTACCGAACTTGCACACGAAAATCACTCACTACGAAAGCAAAAGACTTGGCAGACGATGCAACATCCTCCCAATGAAAAGCAGGGGTGTCACTAGCACGTTAAGAGACCATACAATAAGTGTCAGGGGCCCGAGACTGTTCAACTGCCTCCCAGCATACATAAGGGGGATTACCAACAGACCCCTGGCAGTCTTCAAGCTGGCACTGAACAAGCACCTAAAGTCGGTTCCTGACCAGCCGGGCTGTGGCTCGTACGTTGGTTTGCGTGCAGCCAGCAGTAACAGCCTGGTTGATCAGGCTCTGATTTACCAGGAGGCCTGGTCACAGACCAGGCCGCGGGGGCGTTGACCCCCGGAACTCTCTCCAGGTAAACTCCAGGAAGTGTTATCTAGAGATGATAACATGAAAAGTTACCGATAAATGTGATAACAGGAAGTGTTACGAAGAAATGTGACAACGGAAAGTGTTACCAAGAAATAAGATAACCTAAAGTATTACCAAGAGAGGATAAGATAGCATGAAATGTTAACAAGAAATTGGATGGTGGGAATTGTTACCAAGAAATAGGATACCAGGAAGTGTTATCAAGAAATAAGATAACATGAAAACAAGAGAACATAAAGTGCTACCAGGAAATAAGATAACAGTGTTACCAAAAGGGAGGATAACAAAAAAGTGTTACCAAAAGAGGATAACAGGAAATGTCAACAAGCACTATAATAACAGGAAGCATTACCAAGAAGATAATAGGAAGTATTACCAATGTACAAAGCATATATTACCTGTAGTGTAGCCTCTGCACCAGCATGGCAGACTTCCCATCATATACTGTGTCTGTCGAGGATAGTTATAGCATCGTTGAGAAATAAACGTTATAAATGTCGACACAAAGTGTTGGCACAGAATATATCCAGTTAAATGCTATTAGGGTAGTAGGCACGTCGCCATGAACAAAATAGGTACTGATTAATACAATGAACACTGGGGTTCAATGTTAAGAGGAGCAATTATATTTATTTCTTCAGTTTGATCTAACTGAATATATATAAAAACGCTAAATAAAAGATACCAATACACTGTTATGTTTAGTATCACTGGTTTTAATGAGTTTGTTACTAAGCGGAGTGTTGTTGAAAGCCACAAATATTATAACACCTACTGTTCCCAGTTTCAAGGATCAGGGAATGACTATCTCATTTTCTGTCTCCAATAAGCACTGTAGTGAATAGAAAAGCAACTGATTGACGACACGTCTTCAAAATAAAGATACTCAGGAGTTGAACATGTGTCTGTTTCATCAAGTTTCAGGCACTATATACCATTAGGATTATAAGGAAGACAATATAGTTAAGTGAGAGTAAGAATGTATGAGTTTACTCACCCATCCTGACGTTGTTGTAGTCTGGTGGGAGTGGATCACCGATCTTGTCTAAGGAAACATCCTCTGACAGGAGTTTGATGTTACCGTCGTACACGTTGGGGAAATTGAGACTGGGCTTCCACACTCTATTCCTATCCACATCTGAAAGTTTATTCCACTCCAGAGTCTCTCCCAGGTTCTGGTATTTGATCCTCGGGTCAGTCCACCTTGTCTCCACTGTGAACTCCACATTGATTATGCGACGGATGTCGCTAATCTCCATGAAGCGGAGGATGTCCACAGTGGATTCCAGGAAGATAGCCTGACCCTCGAGCTCATTGTCTGGTGGCCGCTCAGCACGGTAACCCTTCGGCAGGATGAACAGTTGACAGTCCTCCTCGTCAGAAAGGTCAATGCAGTCGTCCTTGGCATTGCACCGACGTTCCTTTGGAATACAGTCACCGTTGGCACAGGTAAACTGGTCGTTATCACAAATGGAGAAGCTTAGCTGTAGTTTGGTTCCTATCAGTTGGTTGCACATGGACCTCTGGAGCATCCAAATGTTACGACCAATCGGATAAGAGTCTTTGGATGGCACTTTTAAGACAGCAACGACTTCCCCCGTCGTGGTGTCAAACATCTCCCAAGTGTATGTGTCTGTTTTGTATACCATGAAACCATAGTAACCGTGCAAGTAAGGCTTCTCTCCTTTGTACCCGAGTACTTCGTAGTAAGTCTCTGCTTCGTCAGAAAAACAAAAGCCTCTCAGACGAAGCGGTGAAGTCCGATTCACTTCGCAAGGAACACAGGCGGGCCACTTGATAACACAAGAGGTGTCTACCCATAGTCCGTTGGGCAGAAACATCAACATGCAGTTTTCTCCAGTTCCTCCGTTGGGTTCGTTAAGCTCAAACTGGGTCTGAGCTATCGAGTTGTCGGTAAACTTTCTCCAGACGTCTTCCTGTACCTCGTCAGTCACTCCAATCCACAAATGGTAATTCGAGAGGCAGTTTTCAGCAAAACGAAGCGACTCTTTGTGAAGTGCTCTGTTTTCGTCTTTGTTGTTGGGGGTGTACACGTCGTAGCCTATTCTGCGACAAGTCCAGCGCGACTCTGCCATGTACTGTGCCTCAGGGAAGATCACGTACTCAACCGATTTCTGGCAGAAGTACTCAGGCTTCACCAACTCAACAGTGGCGTTCCCGAGTAGTTCCACGTCCTCCCTATCAGTGGAGAAGATATTTCCCAGTGGTGCTTTAGTACACGACGACTGCTGCGCCACCTCCTCCGCTGTAAGAGACCTGTTCCAGATGTTAACCTGAGCCATGTGACCGCGGAAGCTTTGGTCAGTATCATAGCCTCCTGCCAAAAGATCCTGCTCTTGTCCTATGGTGATGATGCCCTTGAGCGGGAGCGGTACCTTGTGGGGTACGCTGAAGGGACCTCGGGCAGCCAGTTTACCATGGATGTAGGCGCGGTACTCACCGTGATGGAAGTTGTGGCAGTAGTGACTCCAGGAGTGGAGCCCGATGGCATTGGTCATGTTCATGAAGCCGTACTGACGAACCCCATTGTAGTAGAACCCATGGTGCTCTCCTCGCCGGTCTGTTCAACACACATGACTCCATCTTTGTAATAATTTCATGGCTTCATCTGTTACCCAGAACTTTGTTTATTATTTCTACCTCTTTATCACTAGTAATCTAATTACGACTCTAATGTTCTTTGCGTTTGATGATTATTCAACTTCTTTTTGTGAATATTTACGCTACTCTATAACATTTTTTTTATTTTCACGTTGGTGAGAAATTTCCTTGTACGTATAAACTCATATTTGCATAATTCTGTAAATTAACTGTCTGTAACATGCGCCTTTATTTCTGAAGAAAATCTTCCATGAGAAGCCTTCTTAGATCTTTTGTGAAAATCTATGCAAAAGTCGAAATTTGGTGGCTAGGGGACATGTTTTGGAGTCTGAAATCATTTTTGTAAACCAAGTGAAATTCTACATTATCTTTTATTCTTGTTGAACCTTTTCTAACTGCTATGATGTTCAAGGTTCATATATATACTCTGGCAATAGATTCTTATCCTCCTTTTTTGAGGATTTAATAAGTTTTAGTATTTTATTTATAACAATAATCCCGAAAGAGGATAGACAGATTTTTAAACTTAAATATAAATAAATTCATTTGTTTGACTTAACTGAGCTATTCTAGGTAATTTACACATGCTATTATGTAAGACAATTATAAAAATCTAAACTTGTGTGTTTTACCTCAATAAACTTCACTGTCTTAAAGTAGGAAGGCAGGAAAGAAGGAATTTAGAGGAAGGAGAGAGTAACTTACACATGTGTAGAACATCGTTGTCCTGGTCAGAGGTGGCGATGGAGATGTGACTCTCGTAGCTCATGAGTACTACCGGGCGAGCCCTCAGACACACGGTCACCTCAGGGAACTCTGACACCTCTCCCTGCAACACACACTCACACTTCAGGGAACTGTGACACCTCTCCCTGCAACACACACGGTTACCTCAGGGAACTGTGACAACTCTCCCTGCAACACACACGGTCACCTCAGGGAACTGTGACACCTCTCCCTGCAACACACACGGTCACCTCAGGGAACTCTGACACCTCTCCCTGCAACACACACGGTCACCTCAGGGAACTGTGACAACTCTCCTGCAACACACACGGTTACCCTCAGGGAACTGTGACAACTCTCCCTGCAACACACACGGTTACCTCAGGGAACTGTGACAACTCTCCCTGCAACACACACGGTCACCTCAGGGAACTGTGACACCTCTCCCTGCAACACACACGGTCACCTCAGGGAACTGTGACAACTCTCCCTGCAACACACACGGTTACCTCAGGGAACTGTGACACCTCTCCCTGCAACACACACGGTTACCTCAGGGAACTGTGACAACTCTCCCTGCAACACACACGGTCACCTCAGGGAACTGTGACACCTCTCCCTGCAACACACACGGTTACCTCAGGGAACTGTGACACCTCTCCCTGCAACACACACGGTCACCTCAGGGAACTGATACCTCTCCCTACAACACACACGGGCACCTCAGGGAACTGTGACACCTCTCCCTGCAACACACACGGTCACCTCAGGGAACTGTGACAACTCTCCCTGCAACACACACGGTCACCTCAGGGAACTGTGATAACTGTGGAGAAATTTTCTCCAGGAGGGGGTATCAACCCCCTTCAGCCTCTTTCAGCCCCTTTCAGCCTTGAGGGGCCCAGCCCTCTCAGAAGGGGCAAATATCTTGTTTACTGCTACAGCGAGTAATTGCTCGCAGATGCAGTACGAGTATGCGACGTGATCAAGCGACCGCCGCTCCTTGCAGTCCAGTGTTGCAGAGTGTATTTTAATAAGAGACAGTACATCTCTTACCTTAGCAGGACAATTAAGGAAAATCCTGCTCCCACTTTATTACCATAGTAAAGATAGTGGACATTGTTGTCTATGCTTAAGACAGCAAGATTTAAACATTCTGCTTTGCCTCATGGAGGAAGTGGCAAGGAAGCAAAAAGTACTAGGTCAGCTTTTCCTTTGTGCTGGGGCAGTGACGGCGTGGGGCATTGTGGCGTCTTCAGATTACTTTTGACTCTACTGAGAGTGACACTGATGCCAGGATAACCAACAAAGAACGATCTGTGCGTTAGTGTGAACAAAGTGTCTCACAAAACACAATAAACACTTACAGAGAAGTGTGATCAGCTTCTTCAGTGATATTGTGTGAACAATTATTGATGAACAGTGTAACAACGAGTGTTGCGATCCAACAGAGTGTAGTGCGACATTCTTCAAAGAACACTATTCTTCAATCAACTCAATGGATATCCGGGTGTAATTACGGGTCAGTTACATATAACCCAGGTAAGTGTTCTAACTCGTGATGTTGCTACTATTGACTGGCAGTTGAGTATAAAACCGTGAGTAGTACATATCATATACCCCGGTGATATAGCGGACTTCTGAGTCCACACACATAAGTTTGTCAAGCAACTCATGGAATGTAATATAGTCAGAACATAACACCCCTAGGGTAATGTTTAATCTACAATTATATCATTATCAGCCCGTTGAGAAATGACTTCGACAGCTTCTCAAAACTCGCGGGAAGGCGGACCTGTTGAGTCGACATGAAGTTTGTCTCATCAGAAGAAATATGTTCACCCTATATTTATAACTTAGCAAATGTAAACCATTTTCACAATGAACTTCCCTCAAAACACCGGTGCACCTCAGGGAATCTCTAGACACTTTCCCTGCAACACTGTCACTCAGGAACCTGTGACAAACTCTCCCTACAACACACACGGTTACCTCTAGGGAACTGTGACAACTCTCCTGCAACACACACGGTCACCTCAGGGAACTCTGACACCTCTCCCTGCAACACACACGGTCACCTCAGGGAACTGTGACAACTCTCCCTGCAACACACACGGTCACCTCAGGTAACTGTGACAACTCTCCCTGCAGCACCATCAGATTCATCAAGACAGCTGTGGAGAACACCTCGTATTTTACTGTCCCTGGTTTCAATACCTTCAAATAACTTCTGTATTGAATTGATAAAGATATTGGTCAGCGATGCGTCTTCAGAATAGATACACAGGTGTTGCACATGTGGCTTATTCATCAACCTGCCGATATTGTATACCATTAATGCTATATTTAACTCCACCAACATCTAAAATCTGCATTTGATATTGCGAACAGAACCGTTATAATACATGAACTAGCCAAAATGAATATTGGTGGTAGCTTACTCTGCTGGATAATAGGATACCTGTCAAATAGAGTATCCTCTGTCCTTTACCAAGGCTTCAGAAGTGATTCTAAAGAAATGTCTTTAGGTACACCGCAGGGAGGAGTTCTTAGTCCCATGCTATTTAATATTCTGATTAATGCTCTCCTAAATGCTCTACCTGCCTCACCTAAACATATAGCTATAAGCTATGCTGATGATATCATGATCCATACAACAGGGCATAAAAAGATGATTACCATTCTTAATGAAGTTCAAGCAATTTGTAATCGACTAGGCCTCATAATATCTTCCTCTAAAACAAAGATATTAACAAGCAAACAACTCCCCCACCCATCTATTTGCAGGGTGAAATCATTAGCTATCTTAAAACTTACAGATATCTTGGTGTAGATGTACCCTTTAACAAATCCACTATACCACAACTAAACAAGAAATGCAAAGCTAGGCTAAATGCTCTCAAAGATGTTGCTGGCTACAATCCCAACTATGGTGCTAATGTGAGAATCGTGAGAATGATGTACATAGCCTATGTTAGGTCCTTAATTGATTATGCTGCTCCCATGTTGTTATTAGCTAGACAAAGTTCTCTCCGACCCTTGGAGTTAATGCAAAATGAAGCTCTCAGGATTATTCTTGACTGTCCCAGATCTACAAAAGTTCTTAACATGAGGAAGGAGCTTGGTATTTCTAGTATCAGTGTTAGGATTATTGAGATTAACATTGTACTCGGTATTAGAATGTTGAGAAACGAACCAGACACTGTCACAATGAATCTTACCAAGTGTCTAGAGGTAAATACACACAGATCTAAATGGATTGTGAAAACGTGCAATTACATTAAGTTTTATAACCTGCATGAACTGTATCACTGTAGGCAACAAGAGCATTTCACCCCTCCGTGGAAGATGTGTTCATTTAATATCACATACCTGCAAGTTCCTCCCAAGAAGCTCATTGCTAGTAATCCCTTCCTTAAATCTCTTGTTAGAGCAACTGCTCAAGAACAAATTTCTCACCTAGCTGGTAGTAATAAGTTATCACAAGTTATATACACTGATGGATCTAAACAGGAGTCTTCTGGCAGGGCTGCATCTGCTCTTGTTGCCACCTCCCTTGTTAAGAACGATAATAAATTTGTTGAGTTAGTTAGTTTAGTTTAATATGTTTATTATGCACCCCATACCCATCCTGTGGGCGGTAGTCAAAAGATTACAGAGGTACATAATTGGTCCAGGGACTGGACTCCAAAGTTTTGATAGCTGAGCAAGTTACAGAGATAATGAACTCACAATTTACAAAGGTAATGAACTCGCAATTTACAAAGGTAATGAACTCCAGGTAGGTCTGGTCACAATCATGACAAGTTATAAAGGTATTTACAGATTACAGAGGTACGTAATGGGTCCAGGGACTGGGCCCCCAAAGTTTTTGATAGCTGAACTAGGTACAAAGGTAATGAGCTCACAAGTTACAAAGGTAATGAATTCTGTAAGAATGGTTACTTACGTTTATACATGGCTACAATCATGAACAAATTATAGTGTAATGAGCAATTCACACTTCCACACCCGGTCACAACTGTAATGAGTTATTGGTGCAAATATTGATTGTTGAGTCACACACCACACACACACACACAACACACACACACACCACACACACACACACACACAACACACACACACACACACACACACACACACACACACACACACACACACACACACACACTGACACTCACACTCACATACTCACACTCACACACACACACACACCACACACCACACAACACACACACACACACTCACACACACCCACTCACACTCACACTCACACTCACACACTCACACACTGTTGAGTTAGGCATAAGAATTAACAACTCATGGAACTCTGTGTTCATCAAGAACTGCAAGAAGCCCCTATCACGAGCCTTTTTCATCCTATGGAGAGGGAGCATGGACATGGGGGTGTCCCCAAGTTACTAAAAACAACAGAACATAGCCCCACTCCAC